TTCATATTTTCTAAATTATTATATCCAATCATTAAGATTTGGGGGTTATTGCTACTGCACCCGTCACCCTGTGACATGAAGTTGACAAGTCTCATGTGCTGAGAAACTGCTCACATTAATGCGTGGCGGCAGAAGTAAGTACGGTGTTAGTATTTTATTGAATGAACTTTTTCACAAACGACTATTAAATCAGACATAGATACAATCTGCTACAGGGATTTGATAGACTACTCTTATATAAGTTATATATATTATAATTATAGATAAATTAATAATATATGTAGTCATTATTAATTAAGTACAGATTACATTACCGACAGCATTAACACTGTGTTAAGTAGTAATTTCTTACTTTATGGCATCCAGCCTATTTCTCGTAACGAATGTTTCTATGTATATCAATTAACCGCAAGTGTTGTGAACAAATTCTCCAATAAATTATCGATAATCGTTTTATCTAATTTATAAAATTAAAAAAAAAACTCTTTTAAGCTTTGAGTTATTAATAAATTTAGTCATTACTTTGCGAAAGTCCAAATAAATAAACAATTGAATATTGCGTCATCGCCGTTATTGAGGGTAAAGATATGACTAACCGTTCCGAGCGAGGCCATTCTCCGGCCGAGCGTTGAACAAACCTGAACTCAACAACCCGACAACGCCTGGACAGAGAGGCGAAACAGGAGTCTGGTATATTTTTGGTGGTGGTATCTGTGACTATAGTTGCGTTTGTGTTATGTATTTCATGATTAAAAAAAATATTTTGCACTATTTAACCTCTTCTAGGTCCGCGGTGTAACAAATTATTTTATATCCATTTTCACTATGACTTTACAAAAACTTATTGCCAAAAATACGCTTTTCAATAACATTTGCAGCAAAATTTCTAGCACTAAACTCAATCCAAGAATGACGTAGTAGCAAATGCCTGTAAGACATTTCCACAATAATGATCCAACTGTAGCAAGTTCTGTTAATTTCCACGAAGATGCCCATTATTCTCGTAATATGCAGATGTGTTCAAATGTTATTACTTTAAATTCTGAGATGTGACTGCTGCTTCACTGTTTTGTTATAATTTAAGCGTAAAACGCCTGGTTATACATATTTTACATTAATAAAAACAAATGTTTACTAATTCATTACTCATTAATGTATTCATTCAAAGTGTAACTCAATTAATCTTTATTTAATTTTAATTTATTGTCAGACCGACGGCCATCTTACAGAATTAACTTAAATAATAGTGAAGAGCGAATTATAACTCCTTACCGACAGGCACACATAAAATAAATATTAATGAGCGTTAAATAATGACTAGGAACTATAATAATAATAATAAGTTTATTCAAATGAAACATACAGCACTTACTAGACTAATTTAGAAATTAAAAAATTGGTTGTATGAGCAAACAAGAATTAAACCTCATCATCATCAACCTCTATTAAATCATAACCTATTCTAGGTACTAAACTAAAGTAAAGGGCGTGCGTTCGTGCGTGCATGCGTGCGTGTGTGTTACTGAGATTCTCGTAGTATAATATACTACGAGAAACTCGCAACACTTGTTA